ATTACTTGTAGTTTTTGTTGTAACTATATGTTACTAATATTTTAAAATGCTCATTAACATCTATATTCTGTATCGGAAGAAAATGGCGTGCTTCAGTATTAAAAATAAATAGAAATGATAGTGGGAAAATATTTATTAAGAGCATATTAAGAAAAGGGGATTTTATTAAAATCGTTGTACGTCTGAAAGAGAATTAATAAAATACTGTGGTCGCTCCATAGTCTACATTTAACGCAAAATGCTCTTTTCAGTGATATCTACTCGTGATTATTTGTCGATTCAGTAAATTGTAATTATAACTATATTCATCATCCAATAATATCATTAACTTTACGTAATTAGTCTACACTTCAAAACAAAGTGAGTGCTTCACATTTCAATGTTTCTCTTATCGTGTATAGATGCACGTTGCTACCCGTATAATAAATATCGAATTTTTCAATTTTTTGTAAGATAAAATGGCGCAGTAGTCCGTGAGAGACTCTTGAGAATTAAATGAGAGAACTCGCTCTCACACCTCTTTGTAAGATCGACAAGGCGGCGGTGGTGCGCTCCAAATGCCATTTTCCCGACACGATGGTTTTTTCACTGGTTCCAGAGGAGTCACATAGCCAGGCGAACATGTTACCTATTTCATACATTTCAAAATTACAATAATTTTGAAAAATCTAATCATTTATATGACAATCTTATTATATTTATTATATATGATGATAAATTAGTGAATTAAGCAGAAAAAAGAATTAAAATTACCTGTATGTTATCTCCTGGTTTGTACCAAAATTTGAGAGGTGCAATTCGGCCATGAGGTGGATCACCTGGATAAGGACACCTTACCTTACCTAGAATGTTACATAATTTGTTGTTTAAAATTTTTAACAATTCCAAAAACATGAAAAAACAATATAATATTAATTTTTTAGTGTTATTTTTTTCATGGAAAGAATAGTTAGGCCAGTTACAGATTAAAATAATTATATAAGAATTTAAACATTTTAATGCTATAAAAGATTTTGATATTTTAGCAATCAGTTTGAGCGTTCAATATGATTATTTATAGATTGCAGTACAACATAATTATTTTCAGATATGTATTCAGCTAAATTTTTTAGATATTTCAACGCAAAACTGTTCTTTTCATGTAAAATTACAATACAAAATTAAAGTGGCGCAATTTTTTCACGCTAATTATTAACTGTACTTCAAATGTTATAATATTATAAAATTTAACTATACGGACACTCACATATAGGTGGATCGTGAGACCAAGTACCGTTTTCGGTGCATATGGTAACCGCTTCTCCTATCAATTGATGACCCGGTTGACAGGCGAATCTCACTAAGGCGCCGACTTTGTATATTCGGCCGTGATTCGACTGTTTCTTATTAGTATATCGTGGTTGCTCTATGATGCGTCCACTTTGTGGCATTTCCGGTACAGGACACGTGATCTCTATAAACATCTTTTATTAACTACGATGTTATTTCTGTTAAAATTAATTATAACTGATTATACCTAATTGATTTTGCAAGAACTATTTTTTTTAAGCATTACACTCTTTCAGTTAAGAAAAGTTAAGTCTAAAAATCATTTCAACCGAGTATTCAACTCGATTGATTCAAACGTTTAAACCATATAATTTATCGAAAAAATTTTTGAGAGTAGACGTAGTTTTAGAATTACTGTTTAAAAATTCTTTAAAAATAGAATCACATATTCTAAAATGACTATTTTACTTTGACAAGTCGGCATAGATCCGTTCCACTTGCCGTCTCCTTCGCACGTCATACTCTGCGAGCCTAAAAGTTTGTATCCCCACATGCAGGTGAAGATAGCTTTCTCGCCATATGTGCTATTGTGCTCGTTTAATACCAACAATGCATTATTTCTGATAATTATCTCCGAGCATTTGATCTTCTCGCAATGCGGCATCTCCGTCGACCATTTGCCTGCAAAGGTAATTTTCTTAATTTTATATTTAACTGTGTTCGCTGACAAGCAAGCGTTGCTTCGTACCGTTATACTGGCACGTGATTCTGGAAGCACCTTCTAATCTGTAGCCTACTGGACATTCGAAAACGGCACTATTTCCCATTCGGCTACCTCCGATGCGACTAATTAATGGCGGCTCCGGGACATTCAATACCAGACATTGAACATCTGCAAAAGTTAATTAAAACCACTAATTGAAAAAAGAGTCCGATTCCATTAATTAAAATTTTGGCTAAAAATAAACAAATAAGAATTTTCTGATTGAATCTATTATAAGTTTAGTTGAGATAATCAGAATTCTGATTGATATATAAATCAGTAATCTTCTGACTCGTTCATTTTCAATCAGAAATTTTTCTGATATAACAGAATTCTCGCTACTGACGAATGCGATCAACGTAATTATCATAAGTTCTAAGAATAATATGTTATTTTACAAAACGAAGTTCTATTTAGTGGCCGTACCTACAACACGAACTTGTATAGAGTTGTTCAATCCTTTCGGTGTGGTGCACGTGTATATTCCGGAATCCGGAGGTTTGGCATAGTATATCGACAGGCGATACTTCAAGTCTCTTTCCCGTGCAGCGATCGCCCATCCTAGGACAAGTAAATAAAAAATAAATATATAATATAAATTATATTTAAGGACAAACGTATAAATTTCGCAAATTATTAAAAAAAAATTCTTATTTAAATCCGTACGTTTTAATGATACAAACATTCAAAGTCTCAATGCACTTTTCACCTGTCAAATATCGACGGAATGTTGAGGTCCATGTCCATTCAGGATTGCCCAACTTCCTAGCAAAGAGACACTCCAGATGCAGGATACTTCCTGGATAAACGGCGAGTGCACCGGTCGGCTCTACTACGGCCGAACCAGTAGGTAGACCGAAGTCGATGGTTGGTGGTACATCTTCTGTTTATCCTCGAAAAACGCGAGGATCAAAATTTAAAAGAGATGTCGACAGTGTTATCATATGGTAATATGAAAAATCATAGGACTCACAATATATCTATACATATAATATTTCCATATATTTCTTTTCATCAATCATAATTTTTTGAATAATTGGAGTAGCCTCTTGAATATATCTATTGTTTCCATCGTGTTTGTTAGGCATTTGCGATGTAGAGATTTTAAATACGAATATATTACGTACCGGTATAATTGGAGATTGCCGTAGTAGACACGCAACTAGGTGTCTTTCCGTCCCACGTGCCATTGCGGCAGTGCAACAAGGAATCGCCGATAAACTTGTATTTACCTATCTCTCGACATCTCACCATCAGCCGTTCATTGTGAGGTACACGAATTGTGTGTATCTGTAATATATATTTGCTCTCTAAAATATTCAAGTCCAAGAATTAGAAAAGAGCTCCCGAATTTACATTTTTTAATTCTGTTATGTTTTCTTTGTATTTTTTTTACTAAAATTTCTTGATTTTAAATAGTGATAAATAAAGCTTTATTTACAGTCTGTAATAATAAATTAAAACATTTCATTATGTTATAAAAAGAATCCACTCCAGAAATGATTGGATCTTGAATCAACATTGATTCGATATTGAATTAATCATCGATTTGACATTGATAGACTAATGATTTTTGACTGGAAATATAATTATATTTTAGATTATTCTTTTCGATAATTAAATCACTTGAAATTTCAGTCATTGCGATTAATAATCATTAAATATGCAATTCAGATAAAAATTTATATAAGATTTTAAACTTGTTAATTTATTCAATTTTGGATTTTCAAATCCTTATTATCAACAAAGTTTTGGTATTAACAATTTCGCTACTAAAATAGAGCACAAAAGCGATATACTCACAGACATAGTAAGATATTTATAGGTGACGATAAGAAGAGGATGAAGGTCTTTCAATATGCAAACGTTGTCCAGTCCCAAATTCTCGGTATCTGCAAGTACACACGATAGATGTTTAGAAATTTGAATTTGAAAGTGTATCTTTTAGTTCGCGAACGCTCGCTCACACCCTTGCAACAGCGTTCAAAAATCGATCACGTTTTATAGCGGCTTGCGCGATGAACGCCGAATAGAAATCGATCCAACTCGATCGCATAGCACCGACTAATATATTGTCGTTGCGTCAAGAAGTTGCACGTGCTTCTCCAACAACAGTGTTGTTTAACGATAACTTAAGGCTGTTTTTTTATTAAAAAATTACAGATTTTTCTATACTGTATTTGAAAATATTACAAAAAATTCGACGGCGATTTAGAACCTGGATCAAAAATTTTAATTTAAGAAGTAGATTCAATTATAAGAAGTGGAATTAAAGAAGTAAAATTAATTATTTTTTAAATAATTAATTTTAACTAAAAAATAAAATGAAAAGATTCTTATTTAAATTATAAAATTGTATCATTCTTAAGCTTTAACAAATAGAAAAGATTGCTTATCTTCTATATCAAAAAATAGAATTAAAATTATTTAGAATAAAATATATTAAAAATCGATATTTATAAAGAAATAAATAATATCTATAGTTCTTGGAATTTAAAAGCCGATTTTTTTAAATCTATGCGGATCTCTTCCATGCACGGCGAAAAAAGATTTATATATAATATTATATTTCGACTAAATTATGATAATATAGATACGATTAATATCTTTCCTCAAAAGAGAATGTCATTTTTATAAGAATTTTTATATAAAAATATAATATTTCATTCAAAATTATTACATAATCATAAGTTGATTCCTGTAAACTGCATCGCCTATACATAAACATCCGAGAGATTTTACAAATTCTATCCTTCGTATAATATTTATTTTTTAATTTATTATTCAGAAATATTCCTTATCAATTACGACGTTCTTTAAAAGCAAATTTTGGTTGCAAGATCCGCACTGAAACGTCATAGTGTCATGCACGCACCTATGCATTTGAAATTCAACGTGAACAGGAACAACATCGTGGTCGCTATCGCTGCGACACGTGCACGCGTCCTTCCCGAACGATCGTTGCACGGCATGTTGCTGGTGTCCTGGCAAATCGCGGTCACGCAAGATCATGATTAACGACGACGAGGGGACGCTAACGCAGCGTGGTAGCAAGACGGATGCATGATCGTGCGTCGTCAATTGGCCTCGACTGCCTTCTCTCGATCCCGTTCATTATCTCGCACAAAACAGCAGGATACTCTTACGTCGCACTCTTGGGCGCAATTATCACACCCTGCAATCGGATGCTGGAGCGTGCGACAACACGCTAGCAACAACGTCGATACTAAACATCCATAATCGGCGGGGGTGGTCCAAGACTCGCTATTCCGAGGGATGCGCATGCGGTCACCCTCTGTTTCTCTCTCTCTCTCTCTCTCTCTCTCTCTCTCTCTCTCTCTCTCTCTCTCTCTCTTTCTATATCGTCGCTGCTTTCAACCCCAGAACTCCATTTGGTTTACGTGCCACGTCTGTAATTCTGATGAATATACTGGGTGATAATGTTCGTCAAATTGTAAAGTTCATAATGATGAATAAAAAATGTTAAGTGACCAATCAAAATGACATAAATATTAAACAATATGTTTAATTGGTTTATAAAAATTGTTAGGGACTATATTTCATCAAATTAAATATGAACGATGTATAAAAAAATATAATAAAGAGCGATATAATACAGAGTTCTTATTAAAAAAAATTTTATA